AGGGTTTAGGGCGGCTTTAAGGTTACAGGGTTGTGGGGTTGAGGGTTTTAGATAGTTTCCAAGAGGATTTGAACGGTAAGTAGAAGCACAGGACTTAGCAAGTAGGCTATGCCTAGCAGAGTTAAGATTGGATGAGCTTGCTTGGGGTATCCAGAGGCTTCCCTTTCAAGTTAACCTGACCCACTTAGCCCTAAAACCCCGAAACCGGAAAACCCAACAATCACCAACCATAAATCTCCAAAAACCTGAAACTACAAAAAAACCTAAACCCTTAAACCCTAANNCCCTAAACCCTAAACTCTAAAACACAAACTCCCCCCCTCCCACCAAGAAAAAAACAAAAAAACTAAACCCTTATATAACCGCTACAGCCTACTGGCTCCCCCGAGTCTCGAAGACCAAAATACGAACCTAAGCCCTGAACACCAAGCAGGGTTTAGGGTTCAGGGGTTTATCGGTTTAGAGTTTAGGGTTTAGGCATAGAATTTGGGGGTTTAGGGGTTATAGGAGCTTATAGGTTTAGGGCAGGAACAACCCAAAGCTAGCTATATTCTCAGTGGAAACTGGAAACACAGAGCTGATCTCATACATGTCAGTGAAGTTGGCTAAAGAAGCCCCGGTGAAAGTCCTCGATCTCCTTCACGCCCATGCGATGGCTCACCAAGTCCTTGAAAAAAAGTGCTTTAGGGCTTAGGGTTGAGGACTCGGGGCCTTTAGGGCTTAGGGTTAGTGGTTGGCTCGCCAAGTCCTTATTTTATCGGGAGCTTTCGGATTCGGGGCAGCAGGGTCCCGCCTAAACTTTGATCCCTTGACCCTTCAAGAACCTTTGCAAGAACCTTAACCCCTGAACCCTAAACCCTTAAACCCAAAACCGCGGACAGAAACCCGAAACATTTTAGCATCAACCGGGTCTTCGGGGTTTACCTGGGCAATGGGCTACAATGTCAGGGCTCCATGTTCTGATTTTCTAGCCTAAACCCTAAACCCTAAACCCTAAATGCACTAAACCCTGAACCCTAAACGCTAAATGCACTAAACCCCAAGCCCTCAACCCTAAATGCACTAAACCCTAAACCCTAAACCCTAAATGCACTAAACCCTAAACGCTGAAACAAAGGTAAGTCACTCCTGGTTAAGGTAGGTCTTAGGGAGTTGAGGGCTTGGAAGTTCACGGTTTTGCTTGAATCGAAAGGCTTGAGGTTTGGAAAGTTAAGGGGTTTAGGGTGTAGGGGTTTAGGGTTTGGAGTTGAGGGGTGTAGGGTTTAGGGCTTAGGGTCTAGGGTTTAGGGTTTTAGGGTTTAGGGGTTTACGGGTTTAGGGTCTAGGGCTTAGGGCTGTCGGCATGGGTCTCAGGGGTAATGTCTCCATGTACTCATCTGCGGGCGCACACAACCTAAACACGACCCGCTGAAATTTCAAGAAATACGGTTGATGATATAAACCCTGCATTGCCTAGAATAAGGAATATACCTTTTTCCATAGTTCAGGGTAACGCAGGACTTAGATCATCAACAGTCTGACCGTGCGGTTTTAGGACATGGACTCCAGAACCCAACCCCTGCTGGTAAAGGCATCCTGAATGTCACCAAGACCCTCGTTTTCTCGAAGTCCAACTGACAAGCTGTTGCCGGGCATAGTATAATATGTGTTTTTGTAAACGAAAAATATGTACAACATGAAGGAACCCTTACTAATAATAGTACTAGGTAGTCTAAGGTATTCATTATAAGATTACTCCACCCTAAGTTTTAAGCTCTAAACACCAAGCCGTAAATCTTAAGGACCCTAAAGACCCTAATCGCAAAGTATAGGTATCACCACTTTGATTAATGCGGGCTCTATATCATCAACACTACTCATATCCCAATGCCCTTAAGGTAACATTCCCGCGCATCCTAGCACTAATCCTCCTAGACCTATGTTCCAACTTCCTGCGGTCCGAAACCCTAAACCCTAAACCAATAGCCCTAAACTCCTAAGCCCGGACCCCTCAACTTCTTGGGGTTCGCTGTAAGTCCAAGTGACGAGCACTTCTGGAAAAGTCTTCGTGAGACTGGCGATGAAGTCCTCTACTCCGGCCCGCGGGTTTCTGGGTTTAGGAATTGGGGGTTTAGGGGTTTAGGGTTTCAGGGGTTTAGGGTTTAGGGCTTAAGGGGTTGAGGGGTTGAGGAGTTTCGCGGTTTAGGGGTTAAAGTGTATAGGGTTTCTGGAGGGTTCGGTGCTTTTCCTGATTTGTTATAGGGTCTTGTACAGTTTTGCGTGGTTTTTGCACCCTCAGGTTCCATGTACCCACCTAGTATAGGCCTTAGAGGGGTTTAGGGTTTAGGCTTTAGGGTTTAGGGTTACCCACCTAGTATAGGCCTTAGAGGGGTTCCTATACAGGTAGCTACATAAAAGCCGAAACAAAAAACAACTGGAGGCACATGGAGCCTCAGAGGCAAGATCTCTGAGTTTTACAGGATGTTGCAACCCTTACCCTCAAAGGACTCACATTTTAAGGCTTTGGGGGCCCCAAAAACACCCTATTAGAAAAGGCTTTTGGGCTAGTTTGATGCTCAGGGCCTGGCTTTATCGGAGGCCAAAGGGGGTTTGCAAGGCTTTGGAAGGTTCCCAGAAAATGCAAAACCCTACATACATACATACATACATACATACATACATACATACATACATACATACATACATACATACCCTAAACCCTAAACCCTAAACCCTAAACCCTAAACCCTAAACCCTAAACCCATGCGCATATATATATATTTATTTATTTATTTATTTATTTGTTTATTTATATACACAGGACCCT